GGGAGATTAAAACAACGAATTGTGTCATTGTAGTAAAAATGATTTAAGTAATGGCTGGAAACTAAAATTTGCAGCAAACATGTCTGTCTGTCTGTCTGTCTGTCTGTCACAAATAACTGCGTTCCATTCGATTGTTTCCACAAGTTAATTTTTTTCCTATCATCTATTCTGAAAATCTTAAAAAGTCAGGGTGGAGGGGGGGGAGTAATATTAGTTATTGAGAGTAAATGGATGACTTGACCTCCTTCTCTCAATCATATGGGGAATAATTGTACTGCTTGACACAGTCGTTATTAACTAAACCAAACGACCCAAAAGATTAGGCCTAAAATTATCTTTCTTCTGAGTTAAATTTAGTGTATTCACTATTCAGCTTTGTGCAGAGAGAGGGAGAGAGAGAGAGAGTCGGCTTTCAGCACACCAAGAAACCATACTGGGGTGTGCGATGGACTTACCTCTAAGTGCTGCACCCTGGGCAACGTATATTCATACGGCAAAAAGTCTATTAACTGGCAGTTGACTTCTGACTTCAAACTATCATCACCCCACTGTATGTCATATTCGACCACTTTCACAGTACTCACCTCACCTTTTCTCCCTACCTTTGTGCCTGTCTCTTTTACATCTTTGAAATACACTTCTATTCCCCCCCCCCCTCGATTTTTTTTCACTTTGATGTTCCTTCCCTCTGTGAAGCCTGAAGTCAACTAAAGGGCTAATGATAACCATCAAGACGCCTGCCATTTGATATAAATAAATAGAAACCATACTATAACTGTTGAGAATGCGACCTCAGCCTAATTGGCAGTGAAGAATTAAAAAAGGATCAATAAGTTAGTAAACAGCACCATATGGCCCATTTTTATGTATTCTGTATGACAGAATATGATAATCATTTACTTATGCAAATTCACCTGGCAATGACCTTTTAGTAGCAAGCTAAAGAACTTCACTCCCCTTCTTGTGAACTTGTGAAACAGCAATTTTGTAGTAAGAAGGAGTATGCAATAAAAGTGCACTGAATAAACTTGAATTCTATTGTACTTATAGCATTGATATCATAATGGTAAATTGATTCTGACAATGAATAGCCCTAGTGAAGATCTAGTAGTTTTAACATTTATGACCAATGATGCATTCGATTGGGAATTTCAGAAAAAAATATACTCCTAAATAAAAAAATAATTAGGGCTCAAAAAATAGGGGATTAATGTTAGTAATGGTCGATGTATCAACCTTTGGAACCTCGCTTCCACGGTGAGAGGTGAATGAATTCTATGGGAAGTATTTGTAGTGAATTGAACTAACTACCTCGTGGAATTTGCGAAAGGGAGTATCGACGCCAATCGACTTTAGCTCATTTTTCTCCCAGAAAACGAATTAGAACCGCTAGGATGCCAATAAACAAAAGCCAACGTGACAGAGTTTACGTTCGGTCGCGGAATGAGCGACTTTTGAGATGGCTTCTAAGTTTTCCATCATCCTTTTGGGTAAATAAGGTGTTTTGGATTAATTTCACTTCTATCTTATCTCTTCGAATTAGACTCAAATGTAACCAAATAGTATGTGGTGAACATATATTCCATAGAATTATATTGGTACAAAGTCTTACTTTATCAAAACCACAAATTCGTGAAATGTAGAAAAGAGAAAGGAGAATACGTGAATGCCAACTATCATCAATTAAAACAAAGGCAAAAAATGTGCCGAACACTACTCAAAATTAATTTACCCGAAACGGGTTCTCCTTAACGGGGTGAAATCGGCCCATTAATGCACACTAATAGTTCCGATTCATTAATCATTCAACGTAAAACCAAAAACACTGAAATTTGAACTTCCAGCCTTTGAAAATGTGCTCGAATACACTTTTTAGCACGCAATCGATCAAACAGGGCGCTAAAAATGAAAAACCTTATTCCTACCGTGAGAAGAGAGTGTAAGATTAGATTACATGCTTGTAGGGGGTGGCATGCAAACAGTGTGTCCCTTGCACGCAATGTTTGCATGAGAACACACATTTTGCATGATAAGACCCAAAGTAAATCCACCGCCCTTTCTGCTAATACAACTAACGTGTGCCACCAAAGAACAGTAACATTTGTTTCCTATTTCTAAGCAGTGGGGGAAATCACAAAATAATTAATCATTGAATTAAAGTGTAATATCCGTCATATTGAAGTTTTCAACGCCCCTTAATAATCGTGGGATCAGACCACGCCAGTCTGAAGGAGCATAGAGATACAAATACTCCAAAAGAAATAGAGAAAAATAGATTGGAATATAAGGAGGGAATAATGGTTTTATTCCAATTGAGTAAAGGATTCGTTAAATTGTGGACTTTATGTCTAATAGGTGCATCTGAGGGTTCCAAGGTTCACTATATCAGCAAAACCCCTATCGATCGTGAAGATCCGAGATTTCGATCAGCTGATCATCTTGAGTAGGTATACTTTAGTGGTCAAAAAGTGTGCATATATCTATATATATATCAACTCTCAAATCTTTGAATCTTGAAGAAGGTGCAGATATAATGTGTGCTTCCAACTATTTCTTTGAACTGACTGGTAAAAGTACGTTGTAGGATAAATACGTGGAGGTAATAATGGACAAGAAGAGAGGCAAATTTTTCGCATTCCACAGATTCTACCTTTTAGAATCTCCATTTCAGAAAGCAACTAGCGCTAAAGAATTAGAATTCGGCTAAGCTAACTGCCTTACAAGTCAGCTGGTAATTCTCCCGTCACGTAGAACAACATTATCAAAATGAGGAAAACAAAGGGCAATAGGACACACCTACGTTGCCTTATCCATTTGGTATTCCTTAACAAAGTCTTAGGTAGGCCACGTTTTCCACTATAGCCTTGATTTATCTGATTATTCCAGTGACCGGACCAGTACATTCAGGTTTTAGCAAAGTGATAGCCCTTAAAGCTTTAATGAAACGTCAAAATGTGCTATAAGACCACCAGTGATGTGTCGACACACACACACACACACACCCCCAACCAACACTCCGACCTCAATTGACATTGAGCACTACTAAAGCCATCGTCGGAATGTATAATGATAAGGTGACAACAGATGGGGAAGAGGTCGGTTTCGTAAACTTAAGTAGCATTACCGGGGTCGGAAGATTATGCAAAACATGATAGTACGAGAAAAGTAGAAATGAGGTGAGAGAACTAGAAGCCAAGAAAGCATGCACACAAACACACACACACACACACAGAGGGAGAGAGATAGACGCACATGAAGGCAACACAATTGTGCTTTTGCGCAAAAATGACCAAACAAATGAAGTCAACACAATAACTAAAGGGTGAATGAGTGAGAGAGAGAGCTTGCCTTAGCATGAAGTAGGGAAACTAAAAAAAATGAGGGGGAAGAAAAGAGACAGAAGAGAGATGCGCAGAGATGGCTTCAGTTAGGCTGAAAAGAAAATGATTGCCACTCACCTTTCGAGATTTCTTCTGGTAGACAACAGCCTTCTCCACATCCTTTTTCGCTGTTTCAATGTAGTCTTGGGCATTGTCAACATTATATTCAATCTTGTCTATTGTCTCTTGCTAGAAAGACCAGGAAAAAAACAAGCAATTATTTAAAATTTATTTCTAACATGCAATAACCCAACAACTTTCTCAAAAGGTCAATTAGTGATGAAGTAGTGGTTATGGGGAAAACATGCGATATCATGTTGCTTTATCATTCCATAAAGTGGACAGTTTGAACATTCTTGAAATAGTTACAGGTCACACTTATTATGAGGCGTCTGTTTTGGGTGACAAAATTTGTCGTACATTCGTGATTAACTCGAGATTACTAAGAGTTGTGCGTATCAGGATCATTTTATTTATAGAATTGCAATAGTTGATTTATTTGCCAATCTGACAATTCTCAAATCGATGTTCTATAATCGTTTGCTTCTTCAATTTGTCATGGTTTAATCTTATTTGTTAATCTATATTTTCAACTTTTCAACATAACACCAATAATAATTCTACTATGTGACGAGTAAAGAATATCTAAAGGCGATTTTAACCTCTAAGCACACATTTCCCATGTTTGTTAGCTAAATTAGATTTCCTTAGTTCGACTGAACGTTTTCTTCAAACATGCATTGCCATGGTTAATTGTATTATTACATAGAAAAAGAAGAAAAATGTTCTCAAAGGCACCTGAAATGGACCTTGACTTGAATAAAAAAGTGACCACATTTTATTAATCGCAAGGCGGTATTCACTAACCTAAGCTTAAGTAGATTAACAGTCCTAGGTTGAATATATATCTTTTAAATAATTGATATCGACTACTAATTGATTTTGCTTATCTTTATTGATTTGAATTTTACCAAGCACTGATTGTACCATTCAAAAATAGCAAATCAATCTTGCTAAATCAGATTTGGTAACAGCCAATATGCCAGATGGCATTCTTCTCAATTCGATCAAAATAGATCATGAAATGTAGGTTTTAAGCTTACTTGAGCATCAACAAGGGCAGAAATATCCTGAAACATATCGTGCAATTCCCTAATGCTCTGTTCCAATCGAATGATATCTTGATGTCGAGCTTCAATTTCATTCAACGTCTGTCTAGCCATTTGAGTATCCGCCATAATCTGCAAAATGGAAATACAAGAATCCGAAAATTTACTAGAAAGGATAGGAATTTTGCTTGAGGAAACTCACACTCTGAGTGAAGATTTGAGGATTTCCTGATTCGAGCATATCTTCAAGTTCTTCATCAGTAAAGTGTTGATCGGCTACAAAATTACCACAAAAACATTACACAAATAGTCTCCGACAAGCTAATAAAAAAGAAATTTTGTGAGCGGGTGCGTGGGAGGATAAAGCGGTGCACTTGGTGAGAAACCCACAAAATATCCACAAGGCCTTAAAAGAAACGATTGCACAATCCCTCCTCCCCCCTTCATGGTGATGCATCTCGATAAAGTAGATGTGATTCATACAAACACGAGAAGTTCTTGGAAATACAGAGACAAAATCGATCAAGAAGATACTACAATCAAATGAAACATGCATTGTCTGACTTCTTACCAACTGCAAGTTGACGTTGAAGAAAATCCTTGGAACGGCTGAGATAAGTCGCTTGCCACGCGTTATACACTTGTAGGCAATCAGTCAGAAATTTGGAGATGTAAAGGAGCTGAATATACATAGATTATAAACAGACCTTAGCGGAAAATAGCTTGACCTTAAAGAGCTGGCGAAAAAATGCAATTTCTAAAAGTCTATTTCATCATCATATCCGATGGCGTGTACCTTCAGAAAGGTAGTCCTTTAACTTTCGATAATCTTGGTGGAATATGCCAAAATTTCTGAATAAGTGTTTTATTTAAGATTTTAAGTTTTAATACAACTAAATCAGTAAAAATATTCATGATGTTATTAGTTATGACAATAAATTACTAGCCACTACAATAGTAATTAAATCTATAAAAGAAAAATAAACTATAAACAGCAAGAAAAGACAACTGACTTGAGATACACAATCGTTCAAACTTTTAACCAACACTAAGACAATTCGAATAAGGTATTTAAAAGTGAGATTGTACACAGATGATTGAAATTAATTGATAGATGAAGCATAGATTCATTGATAGCAATTTTTTGAAATCGATGGGCTTACTACCAAACAATAAGCAAAATCCATCAAAAAGAAAATAAATAAAAACCGCAATCTAAATTACAAGGAACGCGCTTAAAATGAGTGAGCTTGGGTGGTGTGACGCATATTAGCGATTAGATGGGTGAGTTTATGAATAACGCGGTTAAAATGTGAGAGTTAGTCGCCCAATTACCATACCGGCAGTCATTCGACGCAAAATACGATCCTTATTGGCATCTCGGTATTCAACTTGAGTTTTGCTGTACTCTTGCATGACGCTTATAAATCTGCGGCCTATCGCTTGACACTATACACAAGTGCACATTTACAATTTTGAAGTAATCAAATAAATGACACATAGAATTACTGCAGAAGCAATAAAAGTCACACTCACCTGGCCTCGCATAATTCGCATATCAGCAACATCACCGCCTGCTCGTTCTTCCTGTGAAATATTCAGTTCCATTTCTTCATAAAATGGGAAGAGGAGAGGTTAAAAAAGTATTTATTATAACTCAATATCAGTAAAGAGACTTACGCTTAAGAGCAGTGCGTACTCTACCACCACGTTGTTTTATATCTGCCATAATATCATTAACTCGAGCTTTCGTCCCTTGAAGAAAATAATATTAAAATAAGATTTAAGAATATAATAAATGTAAAACAAAAAGCGAAAATTAAAAAGATAAGGCAATAAACATACTTTCATCCGGGTTTGTGGCTGAAAGAAGCTCATTATGTTTCGTCTTTATTTCATCGACAAGTGATTTAATTTTATCGACTTCAGAGCGGAGTTGTTCGACCTGGCTGAAAAATCCCGTGAGATAGTTGCTATCCATAAAATTGTCGTTATCATCGTCATAATCATTATATCCATTGTTTCCATTGTTATTTTTAAGCGTAGACAAAAGATCAATCGGCATGTTGATTTAGTACAATGGGTCACTACCCGTTTTCGCGTAATGTGAATCTAATAACGCTCCAACAATCAAAACGACCTTTACAGATAGATTTAAACAAACACTAAACATTATTTGCGGAATAAAGTATTGAAGTTCAAGCAATGCAATTTTATTAAGGTTAAATGTATGTGTTTTTTCTTTATAAGCATTGATATAGTTATTTTTTAATTAAATCGTTTTTTATATTATTAATTCAGATAACCTTGTTATACAGAAATATTTCTAATATTATATTTTTTTATTTACTAGCTGTTTTAAATATTGAATGTTACTGTCACTATTCAAATGTCCTTTGTACGGCTGGGTCTCGTTTCAGAGTGTAATGGATTGACTCTTTTTACTTTCAGTTCTTTCTAATGCTTCATTTATTTCAGATATACAGTCTTCACAGAAATGTTTCAAATGTATTATTGGTATGCGTTTTTATTGATATAATTTGTAGGATTGTTAAATAAATCTGAAACGCAATATGAGAGGTAGTTTCCTTATCAAATCTTTTACGTGTGCAGCTATTGCTGTCCTCAGCTCATTCTTCCATCAGCTGTCTTTGATGAACTACTTCATTTAACACTTACAGGACGATGTGATGGTCATGTGGCGGTTTTTGATCACGTATTTTAACTTTTCGATCTTAACCGATATTCCTCTTCTAGCTATCTGACACTACATTTTGCTTAAGACTTCGTTATACACCTGTAAAGTACATAGGATATGATTGCGCTCAGAAAATAGTATTTTCATATTTATATTCATTTCAAAGATTCTTATATTATATTGCGATTCAATTGTAACTATTCCGTTATTTACCTTCAAACTTGTCTTCGAATCTCTTTTAAATAAAACTGGTAACTGATGAAGACTATTACAGTAACCTTGTAGAAATTAGTGATCTTCCGCTTGATCTATCCATAGTAATTCACTACAATCCAGATTCAATTAGTGACGTTTCTGCAGTACAATGTATAGGTATGGCCTTCGCTGGAAGATTCTTATTTTTCCTAGATAGCCCAACAAATTTCTTTGACTATTTGATCGATGAATCTATATCGTTCTCTCCAAATCAATTTCACCCTGACGTGATATCTAATTCCCTTCTCTTCGTCATTGATACTAAGATGCCCTATCTCTCATTTTTCCGAAGTTGCTCAAATCGAAGTTCGTCTTTCATGCCAATGGAGTACTATAACATGAAGGACAAAATTAAAGATATTGCTTCTCATTTCGGAGGGTATGGTTTGTGTTTTCATCTGTATTTTTTTAGTCATGTTAAACCATTTTGGTTAGAGGTGGAGAACTGTCCATGCTATGTTTGGCCCGGAAATCCGAACTGGACACTAAGGAAACTCTATAGCCTTGCTGATATGAATCGAGCTGCTTTGCCTTCTGCATTCACAGTTTCTTCTGACCGTCGTCTTGGTGCTATCACAGATGATCAGTCTCGGATTGCTCTAATCGATCTTCACCGAGGTACTGCCTTACGATTTTGGAAGGGTAAGGAGCTTTATGTTCTTTATACATATTGAATTTTTTTAAAGTAGAAAAGTACAGCAACGGGAGTTTGATCTGTTAAAAATTCACTTCATCACCGTTTATTGCTCCTGAATAACTTTAATTTTTAGATTTTTTTAAAATTAAATTGCGTCAAATTGTAAATGATTAAAATTTAATCTGAAATAAAGTGTTCCACTTTGTTATTTTCTAATTTCTGTTTATTTCTTAAAAGCCATTTTATATTAGCCCCATTGTGTTTTTAAATTTTTGGTAACCAAACTCAGACTTTGATTACCTAATCAATGCCTGTTTTTAAATAGCGTTTTTGTTAATATTTTCGTATGTATGGTACCATCAAAGTAAATGGTATGTTTACCTTTAAAACTATTTAATGAAAGAAAAGTAGTCAACTCTAGGTTCCTGGGTTATGGTTGGCCTAACCCGTTAGTTGGTAAATACACTAAATTTAATAGTGATCTTTTGTCTTTGTTCGGGAAATTGTCAATTGATTTTCGACGATAGATTAACGACAATCGTATCTGAAATTCCTCTTGTTCGTTTTGACTTTGTGTTAATGTATTACTTACCATATAATCTCTTGAATATAATTTTCTCATCGGTAATCGAGTAGACGTAGTACTTCGGGTGGTGTTCATCGTGCCTATCTGCTAAGCCAGAGATCATGAGATTGAGTTACTCCTAAGTGTGGCTAGTGAATTTCTGCCCTCTACACAATTTAAAATTTGATATTCTTTTCTGCTTGATTTGAGAGGCTTTTGTATTCGTTTACTTTTGGGTTCTCTATTGGTAAATTACTATGATTATCTAGTTTTTGCTCCACATGCTCAAGAATGCATGAATGCATCCTTTGTATGGTACCTGTACCATTTAGTACCTGTCTTCATAAATAAGAGACTATTTGACGCTCGTTAAACACCACAAATTAATTTTCAGGATGTAAGGATTCCAAAACTTGTTTTGTCGATGTCACTGAGCGCTTTACACCAGCCGGACGTCTTTCAAGAAGGGCTCGTTACATTCTTATCTACCTTCCTCGCTCAGGGATCCTGGAAGTTTGGTCCCTTATTCACGGTCCACTCTTGAAATCATGGTCCGTGAATGGAGTTCTTCGATTTCTTCCACAACATGCCGCCTCTCTTAATCCAGCGCTCAAACAGTAAGTTGGTTTGATTTTCTTTCGATTCTTCCTTTCATAGCTTCAATGCTCTTTGCGTCCTGGATAACGAACGGCTTATTGGTCTTAAATTGAGCTATGATCTTTGGCTTCCTCACACCTCTGAGGCTAATGATTTCAAGCAGTTCTCTCGCTTACGAAGTTGGATTACTTCAAGGACCTTTAAAAAAGCTCTTAAATCAAGTATATTTCGAGGTTGACTCAATAAATATACTATTTTAGACCGTACCGTCACTCTGACCAAGCTTGATGACTATCTTGGGGCTTTCTTAGAACCCGATTGGTTTCTCAAAGCCATTTGGGTTCTTCTTCGAACGAATTCGATTGATTTGTCTGAATGGCTTTCTGCGAAGCTGCCCCATTGGAGCATGCGGAGGGTGCTTTCCGATAAAGCAAAGCAATCCTTCGAGAATCACATTACGAAAATCAGCAGCCTATTACTATTCCATCTTGATCTTTTAAAACTCTACAATAAGAAGAACTTATTGGAGAAATTAAGTGATCGTATTCATAGTGAGGAAAATGAATTTATAACGGTAATTGATTGATTTGGTGGTTTTAAATAAATCCATTTTAGCCGGTGCTTGATTTCTTCCCGGAAGTGGAGAAGAAAAGGAGGAACCTCGGAATCACTTCTCCATGGACATTTTTTCGTGCCGTTGCACATTCACGCATCTTTCCGACTGCGTCGGATGAGCCTTGGCACAGGGATAGGTCCCTCGCGCACGAAACCATCCTGGGTAAGTTGGCGATATTCAGATATTGATGGCTTCTTTTTTAAACATGTGGTGCCTATTTAGATAGATTACCGAGAAAAAGGACATGACCCCTCATTTTTTTAGTTGGAAATGTATATTAACGATCAAATCTTGCTGATAATTTAAGTGAGAGATGATTTTCTAACAATAATGACGGTGTTATTAATAGAGGAGCCAATCAATTCAGTTGGGTGACTGTCTCCTGGTTTGAGTTCTTTTGAAATCCATTAAAACTCATTCAATGTGTCATTGAAGGTGCTTACTTTAATCATCTGTTCTTTTTTATTTAATTATCTTTATTGACCGCAGCTGATATATTATCATGTAATTGGCTCTAATCTTCTTCTTTTCTCATATACCGTTGTGAGTAATTTTCTGATCGTAATTTGGTCTGTTTTTTAGGTCAGGCTATATTCATTCCATACTTTTCGGAGACAATCACAAGGGATGCATTCATGAGTTTTCTCGAAAATGGACCATTCCCTTTCGATTACCTCCTGGTAAGTTGTTAATGCTTTTTTGCATCGTCAATGACAAAAAAATGAATACTTCCTCTCAGACATTGTTAATTCCCCATTTCATTGTCTTATTCAAATCGGCTTGACGTTCATACTTATGATGGAAATGAAGTGAAATAAATTTGATAATCATATTAGCCTAACTTCTGATGCAAAACCTTGCCTTCACTATCTTCATTCGTATGCGCAGATATTGGCCACCCGGTGTCTCTTAACCGAATCGAACAGATTTTCTCCTTGCCGTCTAGTACGTTTGACCCAGGAGCTTTTCGCCTCTCATCCTGCGGATCTATCATCCGCCTTTGTGACTATCTACAGCTCTCTTCTGAGTTCTCGTAACCACGCTGGTTGTTTGGTGCTCTGTGCATCTCTTGTCGCTGCAGAAGAAGTGCTAAAACTACGACAGAATGAGGTATTATAACCTACTTATTTCTATCAGTAGTATGTGATTTACAATCGAAATACTACATTCTACTTATATTTTTTTAGTAGCTAATAATTTATTTCATACTCTGGTTTTAACGTTTAGGATTCCCAATTAAAGTCATCCCTGCCTCGCAGTGATTCTCTTCCATCCACTTTGAAGGAACTTCGAAACCGATGTCAACATCTTCAAGATATGGTTGTTTTTAATCATTCTGTTGAGACCTTCGGAGCGTATTATAATTTTCCGCCTAGAATTGTTCGCTCCTTCAGTGTTCACCATATCTTCAAACGAGGCCCAGGTTAGTTACAAATGAGTCCTTTTTATTACTGCCATTTTTTCTTCTTTGAGGAGTTGGGCTTTCCTCTAAATCAGAAGGTAATCACTCTTTGCACCTATTTCCTCCCTAGATCATTTTACTAGCGAGTTTGCGCGTCACCTGGCTGCTTCCCGCCTAACAGGCCATGAAATTATGGAAATCTACCGTCGTTCTGTGTCCCACGTCAATAATAACGGCTTAAGTAAGCAAACTTCAAATTTAACCGAAAATTTTCACTGGCAGAAAGTTGGAGGATATAGTAACTAATTTTCTTTAGTGCCAAAATAGCCAAATGGTTACCTCGTAGCAATATTTTAGTATTTTTTACATATTCTGCTAATTTTTTTCTTAGATTAGATCATCCGCCAGTTCTTAGTCTTTGAAGAATTTCTATTACTACTATGTGACCACATAGGTTCATGAACGATTTAATGTCCGAATACATTCAGAGCTGATTTTAGGATAAATGGATTAGTTTATCAAGGAATCTTTGTGCATCTACCTCACATAATAAGTTGATAGCAATTAGTTGTTACTATGGTGTTTGAAATTATCTAAAATTCCTTTTGCCGTATAATCTTCTTGAATTCATGTTTATTCAATGGTTAGGATAAAATAAATATTTATAACACTAAATTGCCATTTCATAAGATCTCAGGACTAAGATTGCAGTAAATTTATGACTCAAACAGCTGGTTTTTTCGGTGAAGATAAGAGGTATTGAAGTTAGTCTGCGATATATGATTGGCTTCCTAGCTTGCAAATAATGTCACCGATAGGTGGTTTTACAAATCCAGGTGTCATTGCAGAAACCCAAAAATTGATAGTCCGGTGTACGAATCAAAATTTGCGAGTTTCTTTTGTGTACGTCAAACATATTTGAGGTTTTAAAACGTTTGGGATAGGCTTTTCTCTATCGATTTTCTTTGTGTAGAGGTTTGACATCTTTCTAAAATGGCATAAACAGTGTAGCGGATTGCTACCTTAGTAAACCCTGACCGACTCAGAAATCTCTATGGCGGATTCTCCAACATCTAGCTGGACTCCCAGAACTAGCTAAGCTATAGCCCAGCTATAGAGGAAACAGACGTAGAGCACGAAGCACGTTGATTCAGTAAGTATATTGTGGATAAAGTGTCCACACAGGGAGCTTAATCATGATCAGGATGGCGGTTTAGGTTAAACAGAGGTTAATGATTGGTCACTGTTTGTACGGTCGCACCTCCCAATCTTGGCGCGCAGGCATGCGATGACGTGTCCCACAACAGTACCTCTAGTGATGTCTTAATAGCCACTTTGGATGAAACGTCTTCAAATAGCCTTGATTCTTTGTGCAATCTCTCTCCTGTTTTATGCT